CTGATATGCCCTACATCTAATATTATTTTATTCTCTCTATCACCAGACGATTTTACTCTTCCAGGGGAGAGGCTAGTGAGTGTCCCTCAATGGGCTAACCAAGCAGTCTGCCAATGCTGCATTCCTTTCAACCCTTTAATTGGCAATGTGCCACAGTGTTTGATTTAATTTGCTTTCCATGGCGAAGGAAAAACCTCATTAGGTTTTAACACCATAACCTATATACTACCTGTAATGTTGCTGTCTTTAGTTGTGCTTCCAACTTCGCAAGTGCTGTGGTGGGAATAGTTGGTCTAATCGTCTTCATTTTATCTCAGCATGTCCTGCATATTCCTAGTAAAGTAAACAAAACATATGCACATGAAATGAATGAACTGACGCACCCAACTAATACAAACAATAATAATACAAACAATTACCGGAACCAGCTTGAATAAACACACCAGTCTTTTGTAGTACTGTTTCAGAATCTTGTTTCCCAAGTCCCCTGTCTTTCTTTGGCCATATTTTTCTACTTCCTTTCCCGTGGTTAGATAACGCAGCTGGTATTCTACATCTAGTTGATCCCCTTGTCCATCCCAATCCAAGTTTTGCACGATGCTGTGGACATATTGTCATGTTGTCAAAAGAGTTTGGCATTTTAAAAATTGCCGCTCGACACAATATCAGGTCTATCTCGTTTTGTGGACCAAAAAACGAAAAGGATGCTAGATGGTTTGCAATATCTTTTGTACATGATGTCAGAGGAACAACTTGCACTTCGTGTTTTCTATCTCGACTGTCAGAACCACAGATTCCTCCTACTAATGACTTGAATGAACAGCAAACCTCCATTTAAGTTAGACTATTGAACTGATACCCATGCGCGTCGTTGGGAGGGCCAAAATACATGTAGAAAGTCAATCAATTACATGCCCTTAAAATCTATGAAAAAGTTCTGAATAAAAGCAAAAAAATAGTATATGCAAGGAAACAGCGGCCATTTATTTTTAAAAAATCTATGTCGATCATCATGGGCTTCCTGTGGCGATTGTGTTGAAATTTAAAACTTGTAAACATGGTTAACATGCCCTCGGGGACTACATCTATAAAACCAAGCCGAGAAGATCATAAAACGCAATTTTTACATCAAAACAGGTATGGATTGCACACAATTTACATTATTAATACTTTCTATACTTTTTTCAAACCGTTTCATCGACTTATAAATCAAAATAAACGGTATTTCGTCCTAGTGTCTTTTGACCTGAAAGGTCGCAGGAGTACAATTTCACCACAGTTTGATAGCCTGAAACGTCACACACAAACATTTGCCCAAAGATTCCTTTCCATCAGATGAAAGACCTTTATTTCAACATTCATTCGCCGGAGTTTCGAATTATTTAAAGATAGAGCACATTCTCTATAAGACTTTTTATAAGACCCATTTTTATCGATACAAAATATGGGCTTCGAGAATAAAATTGTTTGGAAAGTATAAAATCGCGTGATTGTCCCCAAACTTGCCAAAATGATAGTCAAGTGATTATTTAACTAGGATTAGGAATTATATTTGATGTGGGGTGCTCTAATTGTCCATAGAATCCCACCAAAGTGGGGCTAAAAATCACCCGTCCGAACGGCATTTTCGGCGGTGTTCGATAATTTGCATATTTCTTCAGAATACAATGATATTTAACCAAACCAACTATACAGTTGTTCTTAGGAAACATTACCCTTCCAGACTTGAAAGTATGAGAGAAATGGAATTCTTCAAAGTTTGCCATGAATTTTGAATTTTGCTTGATTTTTACGGACAGTCACTCTTAAGCGTTTCCGAGAGCACAGTTTATAGAATGATGAGAATGTTCGGGCTCAGCAAGTTGACATTCAGTGACATTTCAGATGATGATCTTGATCGTGTAGTCAACAATATTTGTCATGATTTCCCTCAATGTGGAGAGAATATGTTAAAACAAATTCTCAGTGGTAAGGGAATCAAGGTGCAGCGTGTGAGATTGCGGGACAGCCTTCACAGAGTTGATTCAGATGAAGTTGAAAGAAGGAAGTGTGGAAGATTGCATCGACGTGTGTATAACGTAAAATGCCCGAACGTGTTATGGCATGTGGACACTAATCACAAGCTTGTCCGCTGGAATTTTGTAATTTTTGGTTGTGTTGATGGTTTTAGTCGACTTTATGTTGCCTTAAAATGTCTCAATAACAACAAAGCTAACACGTTATTGCAGTGTTTCGTAAATGGTGTTCAAGCGTACGGCCTACCTAGCAGGGTACGAAGTGATAACGGTTTGGAAAACGTCCATATTGCACAATTTATGATTGAGAAACAGGGTCAAGAGCGGGGCAGTATAATCACTGGTAAAAGCACTCACTCACAATCAGAGAATTGAGAGATTGTGGAGAGATGTCTTTAATGGTGTACTGTGCTTCTATTATAATTTGTTTTACTTCATGGAAGAGTCGAATCTCCTTGATCCCCTAAATGATCATCACATTGCAGCACTTCATCATGTTTATTTTCCCAAAATAAATGAGAAGTTGGAAACATGGAGAAATGCCTGGGCACGTCATAGGGTACGCACGACAAGATCATTACCAATGCAGATGTGGCTATCCGGTCAGCTACAAAACCCAGTTGGTGTGGATAACATCAACATGGCTGATATTACCATGTATGGCGTTGAAGGTAATATCGACGAAGATGATGAAAATGTTAACCAACGCCCAATTTTCGACCCACCACAAATGGAGTTAAGTGAAAATTGTTTGCAAGAGATGGCACACAGAGTCCCTAGCACATGGACATCCGACAACTATGGTATTGATAAGTATGAAGAAACTCTTGGATTAATAATTAATCACATACATATGTAACAACTTTAACATTTGCTTGTACAACTACAATGTTGTGTCAATAATATAAAACCCCAAACATTAAAGGGATACGGCAATATATTTTTTATTATTTCATTTGGAAGAACTTTTAAAAATATATGTTAATCTCTTTTACCGATTTTGTGTAACTTTATTATTTCTTGAGATATTTGAACAGAAAAAATCACAAATCAGTGAGTTTTCCGCCATCTTGGATATTGGCGGATATGCATGTGACATCATAAGCGGGGTCACACAGGAATTTTATCCATAGAGCAATTGGTTATGAGCCCAAAATCATATACTTCAGTAACTATTTGAAATAAAAACTGTCTGCTGACTTTTCAAACAAGACTTAATGTTATTTGGTCATTTCGATGTAGTTTTCTATGGCTAACCCTGCTTATGACGTCACTAAAATCACCGATAATGAGATAAAAATCAATCCAAGATGGCGGACAGCAAATTATTTTAAGTCAAAATATTTCAAGAAATAATAAAGTTACGCAAAATCGGTAAAGAAGATTAACATATAATTTTAAAAGTTCTTTAAAATGAAATAATAAAAAAATATATTGCCATATCCCTTTAAGTAATAACTAAAACAATATGAAGTTTATCTGTAAACTTAAACTAGTAGTTTTTCTATAAAATTGAATTTTAAAAAATATGAAGTACAGTATTAGAGTAACAACTTGTAATTATTTGCCAATCTAAGCCATTCCACAGTACGAATTAAGGAAAGCATAATCATACAATTCGAAGACTTCAATATGATTGGTTGGTAAAGGCTTCCCAAATAATGGTTGATGAAGATTAAGTTGGTTGATGCAGGTATTTGCAGTTGGTAAGAATGACGACTGAAATTCAGGGAACGCAAGTGAAGGTTGTTTTGTGTATCCAACGACTGGCTCTTCATCCATTGCAGTAACAAACTGGAGAATATTCTCTAAGGAAATGTTATTCCGTCTTCCAGCTATAAAGAGACATACATTATGTGATGGATGGTTAGGTATCCTGTCATTGGCTCTCACACTATACTTGTTGCATTTCAAAAATGTAATTTATTGCATTTTCACTTGTGGAGTAAGGCATTGTTGCATATAGCATATAATTATATGGATTTTCAAAATTCTCTATTCTGATTGGTTGACAAGCGGTCCGTAAAAACCCATATCCGGACCACGGCAAACAGAAAAAAATTTTGCTCTTTAAATTTCCAATTGTGCTTTACAGATAAAAAATTCAAACAACCAAATTGTTTTTGATTGAACATGCATGCCTACCGTATATATTGTTACCCAGTGAAACTGATGATAGCCGATTTAATTCGCGCGAAAAGCTTATGCTCACAGACTCACTTCAGCCATATAATAAACCGATTATTGACTTCGCTTGTTCGGTCTGTACAGTACTGTGAAATATCAGACCTCTGTTTTTTGCATGGAAAAAACGTACTAAAAAAGCTCGGTCTGATATTTCACAGTACAGACCTCACGCTCTGTCAATAAGCCGTTATTATCATGCGCAAATACTGTACTTTCGCCACAAGAATTAACTACATGCACAACTCAGGGGTTGTAAAATGTTTTTATTTTGTACGAGTTGATTTTTCTGTACTGTAGTTACTAACATTTTGCCTGTTTCCCCCTTATACTTAAAACCCCCCCTGGCCCTCTGCATTTGTAGTTAAAAACTTGTAGTTATAAGGGATGCTGCATTACAAGTTGGGGCCATCTACTAAATATTGTTGCTATTCATTTGGTTATGTGAAGCGCATGATCCAACACACATCCTCCTTTGCACTAGTTTGGTTTGTGACTCATAAAGCCATTTGTTCATCTGAACCCGTAAATCAATCAACTGCAAAGCAGGAATTTGTTAAATAAACATAGTCAGGTCAATTCTTCCACATCAATAAACAAATTGCAAACACTTTCAATCCCTCAACAGTCAATTTGAATGGTTCACTGTACCTGCAACTTCACACAGATATTTTATGAAGAGAGCATACACCTCTTTCTCAAACTTCAAAGAATTTGAACCTTCTTCACTGAAGTTCGGTTTCAGCAAACTAATGACTTTTCTGATGGAAAGACGTTCACCATAAACTGGGTTAAACAGATAACTAAAAGTTGGTAGTTGTCTTAAAATCTAAAAACAAATAAATACACAGTTGTATGTGAACAACAAGGTATAATAAGCAGAGGTAACAATCACTTAATTATATAAAAATACCATACATAAAATTGATATTTTCGAAATATTAATATTTATTGCGAAGTACAAATATCAATATATCATACCAGCCTCTGTGTAAGTGAACATTCTAAGTTTCAACATCTTGTCGTTATATATCTGTAGGGGGGGGGGATCTTAAAATATTAAATTTTGAGGGAATCTAAATATAGCTTTTCTGGTAGACACAAAGACATGCAACCACAATCCCATCTTGAATTGCACCCTCCCCCTATTTCTTAACAGAAAATCTATTTATACCCTGTGGTCAAGTTGACTCAGAAGGTGTTGTAAAACTAAACAGTTTGTGGTTGTGGGTTTGTTTCATTAACCTTTAAGTGAAATACGCCCTACTTTATTATTTTACTCACCTAACGTCAGATAATTTTACTTGTCAAGGGAAGAGTGTTGCCACTAAAGACTATCAGACTATATTTGCCATTATTTTGTCCTTAAATGAATTCTCATAACTGCATAATTAAATGAAGGTGAATGATGCACAAACCAATCACATACAATATTGGAAACAAACAACAGATATCAACCATTTTGCTTACCCATTATCTTTCCAACTGTTTCATATTTATAAAAGAGGTGCTGTCTTAGTCCTTTATCAAAGTACTTCTCCTTGATTGCATTCATAATCATAAGAAAAAACTCTTTTCGAGGTCCTCCATAGTCTTTGGCACCCTAAATAATAAAGAAGATGAAGATGATAGAGCAAGCCTTCACAAACTGTACATACACATAATTGTATAATAAATTAATACACATGCACAAACAAACAAACAAGTAAACAAACAAACAAGTAAACAAACAAACAGACAGACACAAATATGCACATTTAAAAATCTTTGCTTACTGTACCTCACCATAGAATTCAACTTCTAATGTTGTTCGCAAATTTTGGATTTGGTCAACTTCATCAAATCCAGTGTCCAATACATTTCCACGATCAACAAAAATGACATTTGTGACACCTTCTTTGCAAACTGATGGATCTTTGATTTCCAATGCTCTACCTTGAACAAACATGGACTGATAGCAGGATAGGATTTCTACAGGATTTGATATATCATTAGCAGAACAGTACTAGACTAATTCTGCAACAATATGATCAGCTATCTTTTCTTGTGTATCCAGGTCACTTTCATCTGGATGAACAATAGGAGCTGAAGCACTGTTGCCAAGAGTAGAATCTGTAGATGTCAAGGTGTTGGTGACTGTTGTATAAGGTGTATCATTACTGGGTGCTGATGCAGAGGACGATGAGCTAAAGGTTCAACCTGAACCACCAAGTTCACACTTGGGTCTGGCATTTCATTAAGTGTGGATAAAAACCCTAAATCGCTTTCCCCTTCACTTCCCTCACTGGTGTTAAACATGTCCACACACACACAAAGCTGTGCTTTCGCAACTCATGTACAAAGAATTCTTTGTCACAGCTAATACATTTTTCTTTGACTTGGGAGGTTTTCTCAGCAGCACGTAGCTTTGTGGGAAGACTTTTTTGGATTGGCCTCACATAGATTTTTGCCTGAGGACCACCATTAGCCTTCAATTCTTTTACAGCCCAAGATCCATCAATAACAACAAGTTCCCTGCAATTTGCAATACAACGCATCAGCTCGAAACCACCACAGTTTTGAAGTTGAGGGAACCCAAGAACTTCGGCAGAGCCGTCTTCAGTCTCACTCGCAGTTATTTTCTTAGCCACGGCTTCTTCGTTATCGTCAACGTCAAATTTTATTCTTTTTAAGCCAAGACCAGCCTTGAACAAAATTTTTTTTCGGATGCAGTAGGAACTTTGTAAGCTAATCTATCTGCCAAACAAACAACTTGAGCAGTCCAAGTTCTTTTTTTCGCTTGTTTTGTTCCCCTTTTACTTCCTCTTCTGTTACTGTGAAATAACTTGCGAACTTCATGAGAGGCTGTTGCTGCAGATGTCGAGGCTCCTTGCGGCCGTTGCCCTTGCCCAGCTTGTACGGATTGTTTGCACAATTCACGTAATCGAACTCGATCACCGATAGTTGAGGTACCTAGGTGAGAAAGCTCACTATCTCTCGAACTTAGAACAATTTTTTCATCCACCCTTTCGTCTACAAACAGACTTAAAAGATTAGCTAAGCCAAGTTGCTGCAAAATTCCCTCCATTTTCTGATTTTCAGAGTAAAATGTCGACCATGTTGTTAAATCTTAAACGAAGTATACCAATCTTATATGAAGTACGTTTGTCACAACCTCGTCCCCAGGGTCAAACATTGTATGCGACTGCACATAACTATCGCGGGCTAATTACCTTTGTATAATGAACACAAACCACCGCATATAATGACAAAAGCACCACATTTATGAACACAAACCACCGCATATAATGACAAAAGCACTGCATATAATGAACACAAACCACCGCATATAATGAACACAAACCACCGCATATAATGAACACAAACCACCGCATATAATGACAAAAGCACCACATATAATGACAAAAGCACTCCATATAATGATGAAAGCACTGCATATAATGACAAAAGCACCGCATATAATGACAAAAGCACCGCATATAATGACAAAAGTACCGCATATAATGACGAAAGCACCGCATATGAAGAAAGCACTGCATATAATGAAGAAAGCACCGCATATAATGACAAAAGCACCGCATATAATGACAAAAGTACCACATATAATGACGAAAGCACCGCATATGACGAAAGCACTGCATATAATGAAGAAAGCACCACATATAATGACGATTAACTACTTAAGACAGTCATGGCTTTCCATAATTTTGGAGCACTTCTGGAACAGGTGGAAATGGGAATATCTTACAAACCTAACAGAGTTCCACAAGGTTGGCGTGTCTGCGAAAGGATCTGTGATTGTGAAGCCTGGAGATGTGGTCATTGTGTTTGCGCAGGGCAAGAAAAGGGGGGAGTGGAAGACAGGTGTTGTGCATGAGTTGATTCATGGCAAGGATAAGGTTGTGCGTGGTGCTAAGGTGTATGTGATGACAAATAGTCGAAGGCAACTCTTAAGCTGGCCTTGTCAGCATTTGTACCTGGTTGAGGTATAGAAAGGGGATGAAATCAAAGAAGTTGGTGAGGTGAATTTGGATGTGGTTAAGGGAAAGGTCGAAGGTACAGAGAGGCGACAAAAAAGGAGTGCTGCAATAGATGCAAGGTGGAAAACTAAGGCGATGCTTGACTCGTAGGTGAGTCAAGGGGGGGGAGAGTGTCGGATTTATAACTTTAATTTTATTATAATATATATATGTGCTGTAAATATGTTGAAACTGTGTCTTGCAAAATTATACTAATAACATTTATTCTTATTTCAATTAGTTGTGTGATGCATGTATGTCAAAGATAATTGTAAGTTCATTATAGATAAGCTGAATTCAAGCCAAAGTATGTTAATAACATTATTGTATGTATTGCATGATGAAAATATGTAGGTACGGTTTCCGGACCGAAGTTATAAAATGTTGTGACGAACGCTAATTTAGTGAGAATGGTTAGAGGTCGTAAAGTAAAAGACCGGATTGTTGTAATTAATGTATAGTATTTGTGTGAAATAAACTTTGTAAAACGAAAAGTGATGTATAGCAAGGATGGTGTGAGAACGCACCTGCATTTGAGTTCGTTCTCCCAGGACGATGAATGATCTCGAAGTCGTACTCTTGCATTTTCTGAAACCACCTCGCAATCTGCCCTTCTGGTTGGCAGAAATTTAATAACCATCTCAGTGATGAATGGTCGGCCCTAACCATAAATTTCTGACCGTACACATATAATGGAACTTTTCTATGGCTTTCATGACTGCCAATAATTATTTCTGTGTAACACAATAATTCCTTTCAGCTCGACTTAGACTGTGACTGAAATATGCTATGACATGCTCCTGGCTATTTTGTTCCTGTGAGAGCACAGCCCCAATACCAAAATGACTAGCATCTGTATCCAGGATAAATTTACCCTTTGGTTGTGTGTATGCCAAAATAGGCATGTTTGTCAGATCTTTCAATTTGCGGAAAGCATCATCACACTCACCAGACCACTGAAACTCAACATTTTTCTCTGTCAACTTATGTGACAGACTAGCCACAACTGAAAATGCTGGAACAAATTTATGGTAGTATGAACAAAGACCCAGGAAACTCTGTAATTCTTTCTTGTTGTGGGGAATCGGCCAGGTTCTCATTGCTTCGGTCTTGCTTGGATCGGTTTCAATTCCACTATCAGTTACAATATATCCCAGGTATATCACTTCTCACTGAAACAGTTGACATTTCTTTGGGTTCAACTTCAAATTGGCTTCCTTGAGTCAGCCAAACACTTCGCGAAGATGTTGGATTTCCTCGTGAAAAGTCTTGCCGTGAACGAAAATGTCATCAAGATATACAGGTGGTCCATGGTAAACCAGATAGAACAGTTTCCAAAGTCTCAAAAGTAGCTGGTGTGTTACATAAACCAACGGCATTACCGTAAATTGCCACAGTCCTTCACCGGTAGAAAAAGCTGTCTTTTCCCTTGCTTCGTTATCGAGGTTCACCTGCCAGTAACCACTTTTGAGATCCAGCGTTGAGAACCACTTTGACCCTGCAAACACATCCAGAGCTGTGTTGATCCGAGGTAGCAGATAGGGATCTTTCTGTAATCGATGCAAAATCTTGTTGTGCCATCCTTCTTCTTCACGAGTACAACAGGAGCCTTCCAGGGGCTATTAGATAATTCAATAACTCCGCCCCTTACCATCATTTCGACTGCCTTCCTTGCCTCCTCCATCTTAGAGATTGGCAAATAAGAAATTAATAGAAGGGCAACTCGCGTGTACAACGCATAACCAATTTCAGTGCGCACACGCGGGATCTCTCAAGCTCGCAGCCAGTAAAGCCAGTCAGTGCAATAGGGATTTGTATTATGAAAGGTACATTTTGATCACAAAATCGACTATTGTTTGGAAACAAAGGATTGGAATATCAAACTACTACAACTGCCTGCAGAGGCAATGTAAGCCTAAATTATTATTGTGGCTAGCATAGAAAGAAACGAATATTTAGGGAGAAATTTGATATTGTTGTGTGAGCTGTTGATCGTGTACAGTTGATCGTGTACACTGTGTTATTTATTTCTATTTTTGAGGTTTATGTCAAATCGTATTAGGACAGGTTTTGGATTGCATCAAATTTTATTTTAAAAAGTATAAATTTCAAAGTCAAGAGCAATTAATCAAATTTATTTCGGGTGGGAAGTTGTCTGTCTGTGTCTGACATGTTGAACTACAAATACAAACAATATCAGAAATTGATGTTATTTATTTATTAATTAAAATATCATGATTATGAATTAACATTCATTCTTATTACTACAATATTACTTCAAAGACATCGGATTTTTCCTATAAATAAACCAAACTATCATATGTTAATATACTGTACTTTATACTTTGTAAGTAAACAATGTGTATTAATATGTCTAAATTTCGCATTTAGCAATTCTTTAACAGCTCATTACCAACAGAAATGTATTCACTAACCTTCAAATTACAATAGTAGATTTATTCAGCCAAATTGCCATTCTGCAATACAAATCTCTAATAAATTGACTGGCTTTACTGGCTGCGAGTAATTAGAGCAGGCAATTTCCGGTATGTGTGAGGCAACATGCACGGCTTCAAAAACTTCAAAGGTTCCAACTCAAGTTGCCCTTCTATTCATTTCTTATTCTATGTCGACGTGGTGGTTGTCGTATCAGCTTACTTTCACCTGTGTCAATTTTATGGGATATAAGAGAGGTCCTACCCAAGTCCTGAGCACCCTTCGAAAACATGTCCTCAAAATCAGCTAGCAACTCATGAAGTTTGTCTTTTTGAGAACTATCAAGGCCTTCTGCACTTCTTTCATAAAGTTCTTGCAATGCTTAATGGAATTCAGGAACTTCCTGCTTCGTAGCACTGCTGTTTCCTGACAACAAAGTTACACGTTCGACTGACTCGCAGCTAGTCACTTCTGTTTCCCTTCTCTACTACTCTCTTCATCAGACAACTCTAACAAAAAACTTCGGCTTTTGTAGATCAACAACAGTTCTCTCCAAAATTATTTGACTTGGTAACCCTTGCTTCCTCGTTGGTTCCAGGCTTCCCCACACCTCACCAGAAGATTTCACCATCTTCTAGTCGCCCAGGAATTAAAGCTTCACTTTGTGCTGGAATCACCATGGTCTCAGCCACATAGACTCTACGACACCTCGTTTGCTTCTGACTCTCCTGGCTCCCCAAGTGTTGAAGTTGAATCTCCTCTGCACCAATCCGCAGGCATCCATCCATCACATCAACAGTACAACCATTTGGCCCAAAACGTCTACGCTGAGAATACACTTGTTTTCAATTTCCACGATCCACACATCCTGAACTGTTTCCAGACCCCCAATTGTAACACGTATGCTGCCCCTGCCCCACACTGGAGTTGTGTCACCTGTCACCGTACGTAAACAACTGTCCATTGGTTTAATATCAACTATCTTACTTTCAGTATTCTCCTCACCATATCTGGTTGAACAATTGTAATATTTGAACCTGTATCCACAACCATCTTGCACGGAACATCTTCTATTTTACCAGATACAATAAGACTGTCCACCAATCTGACCAGTTTTAAAAATAATGTAAGGAGTTTTATTTTCGTCGTTCCTAGCTGGATTTTCCCCTATAAATCCAACTACTTCCCGTTTCCTGTACAGTCTTGAACCTCATTATTTTGCTTTCTCGGGCATTCATCCCTCAAATGTCCCAACCTTCCACAACCCCAACAGCGGTTGTCTCTACACGGTTCCTCAGTACAGTCATTGTTGTTTATTAATTGCTGCCATGACGCCAGCTATACATTTTTCCATAGACTTTTCAAGACACTGAACAATTCGTTTCATCTGATCGTTACCATTCCCTTCACCTTTTTCAGGCAACCCCAATGAGGATATCTCTTTCGTTTTTTCTGATTTCTGTGATTCCCCATTACAATCCCCCAGTGTTGCTTCTTGAGCTAATCAATAGCATTGTTGTCTTGATGCCAACTGGAAAGACTCTAACTCCATTGCAAGTTCCAGCACACTCTGCAGTGTCTTCAGATGTTCTTGCTTTACCTTTAAACTTGTGTCCTCATCAGATAGGCTGTCCACAAACTGATCACAGGCCAACACGTCTTGCAAGTCGGAAGAAGCATCAGGGTATGCCAACTTTGACAATCGCTCTATATCACCCAACAACTCGGGAAGAGTTTTGTCTTGTTGCTTTACTCTCGTTTTATATTTCCTTAGTGACAACTCTGTCTGATGACTTGTACTAAAACAATTGTTTAGGGCAGCCACCAACATCTTCAGGTTCTGGTGATTGCGTTCGGGAAGATTGCCAAGTACCGCTAATGCAGGTACTCTTAGACAACTCGCCAGATACACCACTTTCTCAGGCTCGTCCCACTCGTTTATCTGTGCAATAATGTTGAATTGAGCCCAATACACCTCCGAAGCTGCTAAGCCATCATATGGGGCCGGTCTTTGCACTGGTTTGTGGTCTCGAGGGGGACTACGTTCAACAATTCTTGTTGCTGCAGATGGTGATTTTTCATATTTGCTTTTTGCCAGAGGCGAACCAACTCCACCCGAAAATTTGCCCGTAAGGGTTCCGGTGACTTCGGTCCACCACGGGCTGTTTTATCAACGCTTTGTAACTCCTTGAAAATCTCTTTCTTCAAATCGTAGTACGAAGTTGTTAAAAGTCTTGCATGAACTTCCACAAATCGTTCCCCTGCTGCTTCCACATGCTCGACCCTTTCGTTTAACTTGCTCAACGCCTCGTCAATCCAGTTAAATTGAACCCTAGCCTGATTATTAAAATTGCGGTTCTCATTTATACTATTTTCATAACCTCCCAAGCCACCTTCAAACCTCATTAAATCTGCTCGTTCAATATCTTGTTTCCCTTCAATTTGTTGCAGGCGATTAGACAATTTCTGCATAAGGTCGTTCGTATAGTTTGCTTGCTGTAAATGAATTTGTTTTTGTTCCTGTAGTAACTCCATTTGGTCCTTCAACATGCCATAAAGAACTTCAAAACTTTCCTCATGAAAGGAGTGTTCATTTACGCCACCAATGTTTGACCCATTCATATTAAATTCATCGCTTTGCAACTCACTTCCCATACTATAATTTAACTGTCCTTTACCAGACAAGAGGAAATTTCTGTATTAATATGAGGAAATCCCACCACTGCTACCAATATTACACTGTTGTAGGTAAAAGACAAACAGAATGAGAATTCATAAGCTTTAATACATTTATTTAAACTTGTCTTACAACGACCAGATTTGAACAACAACAACATATATATTAGGCTTATTTTATAGTCTATCCCAATTTGCATGTCAAATTATAAACATAGCACGGACAAGCATTCAATTATATTGCAAACTTGGACGAACACATATTACAACAGAACACACGAATACAAATTACATTACAGAAAGAAGCTTTTGCTGTCATCATTCCTGCAATACTTTTGGAGATATGAACTTCCCTTTAGGCAAAGAATGCACAATGTTAACATTAATGATGATCGGGACTGCTGTGATCACACATTTAAGTCTGTGACAAATATAGGAATTCTCTTTTCTGCTCCTCATGATGTTGGCCAAATTTTGTCATGGCAGCAGTCCCAGATATATCCTATCTCTGTGAGATGTTAAAATAACTCATGGAGCGAATAGTTTCTATAAAGAAAACTTTGGCTGAAATTTATGTTGCAGAGTATTTTTGGTAAAGCTACATTGGTCAAATTAGACTTGTTTCATGGAATTCAAAGAATCACTAAAAACCTTGAAAAAACATTCATTAAAATTAGTTTTCAGCTTAGCATTACAAAATATTGTTAGTCAAAAGGATCATTCAACAACAAGATCATTTCTCTCAGAAAATATGGGTATTAATCATGACATGTCTGCTCCTGACATTGCTCAAAAGCTTTGCACCTTGATGGTTACAGAGTGGATGACTAATCCTGATAGATACAAGCCTTTCTTTCGACAATGCTGGAAACTGAGGAACAATTGTTCAGACAGTCAGGTTATTTTATGGGTGAGCTCGGCAATACAATGCCTCTTGCATTCGCAAATATACTGTGTTACTGTTTGCATCTATGGAAACAATGCATGTCTTATTAATAACACCATCGATTATGCGAGATGCTGTGCCAATGGTTCTTGCATTTAACCAATTTGGGGTTGGACATATGATGCCATTAACATAGTCTCAACATTGAACAAATATGCGAGAATAATATCTAATACTCTTAGGGAGGAAACCGACTCTTCTTCCATCATTCTGGAGTGTTTGTGTGGTAAAAATGCAAAACTTAATACCACAAAAAAAGCCGTTTATACAAAGTCAAACACATATTCATTGAGATGTCCTTGTCATAAAAATTCACATGGTTGTCAGGATGGTTGTTTGTGCAAGGAATGTGAAAAGCCTTATGGAGAGCAAGAATTGTTACCTGATAAACAATTTGTGTTATCCCCTGGCCCATCACAAAAAAGATCTAAGCATTCTTTATTGACAAAAATAGGTAGTGGGAAAGACTTTATAAAGAAAATGGATACTAAAATTGAAAGAGTGGAACCCAACCGAAATACTGATCTTTGAGGTTCTATTACAATTGTTGAATCATCTTCAAATACTAGCCAATGCTGACACCATTACAAGTTATTTCAACTGATTCACAAAGAGAATAACCCAGTTAGGTTTTGAATTTGAAGTTGTTACAAAACATTTGAGCAACATTCAGTCACATATATATTCTCACGATAAGGTGCTTAAAGCTTGGTTAAGTAGATACTACCGTAAACAGCAATAAAAGTACCGTAAACAGCAATAAAAGTAGCATAAACCCAAGAAAGATCAATTACCAAGTGGTTTAAAATGTACTGGTTTGCATAAAAAATTTACCAGTATTATTCTGCAAAATCAAATTTATTCCTGCAACATGACCACTGTGTGATGCGATCTATGCATTTATCTTTTTTCCCCTATTTTTTATGCTTCTTAGATAAAAAATGTCTTTGCAGATTCATATTGTTAATGGTTAACATTATATTACAACCATTTTTGTTTAGCATTGTATTGTACCACATACTTAAAGTAGATATAGATTCTGAATTGCATGGTACCATGCAATGCTAAGGGTGTAAATGTGCAATATTAAAATTATGCAGATTACATAATTTTAATGGTAAATTAAACTTTGTATATATAAGCTAGGCACTTCAGCATGCTTAATGCTAACAAGTTCTTACCACCCTAAATCGTATTGTATTTGATATTGGTTGCTATTTTTACAATCGCCTAGGTTTGCCGGTGGTGTGAGAAACACTTTGGATTTGAGGTATCCCCACAAGAAAAAATCCAAAGTGTTTCTCACACCACCGGCAAACCTAGGCGATTTGGAAGAAAGAATTCGAAACGCAACGGAAGGTTTAAGGCAGGACAGGCAAATGGTTCGCCGTGCGGTGTTCAGTATGCTCAGGCGAGCGGAAGTTTGTTTGGAAAGAAACGGTGGACATGTTGAGGACTAGCATAATGAATCAAAACAACTGCTTATTAAATGGCGTTGTTTATGTGTTCAATTGTTTGCTTAAATTTATTCATGTGCCCATCCTTGCATGAGATCAGTCATGCTAAAATCAATTCACTTTTCACTTTCACTTTAACACTTTATTTATTGAGGATAAACAGATAAAGTTACAACTTTTTTCCAATCTGGTCCTCCTAAACTCTATATACACAACAACAATAACATTAAACATGACTATATTCAGTACTTCCTATAGGAGTATGAACAAATGAAATCATGGGTACATTGTAAAGTATTAACCAGTACTACAATTCAGTTGTTCATACCCCGAGAAAGCCCCAATTTACTAATTAGGCAATTTTCTAACTATGTCTAAATTATATTTACAGTACAGTATAACAAGTCGAAATATGCGTTGACACACAACTCACAAGTGTCTAAAGTGACATTATAAACATGACAGTATTTGACACTTTCTCCATGTACGAACAACCGAAAGTAGATCATGCTCAGCTAAAACTGCAGGCATGAATTTCGGCAGTTCGTACATCAAGAAAGCAACCAACTTATAGTCTTAATAAAAGAGAAAACATGCAAACAAACAAACACTAGATGTTCTTAACAGCGAATACACTGTCACTGATACTTATTGGACTATATACTTATATTAAACAATTAATTACTGATGATATTTTTAGATATCTTAATAAAGCCTTATGCTGTTAAGTTTAGTTGAACTCACGAGTTTCTGACTAAAGTAACTCTTGCAATATGTGTTGAATGACGGCTGCGATGTTATTTTCTTTGCCTCGTTAGGGAAATTGTTCCATAAGGTCGATGCTATAAATGAAAATCGTCGTTTTCCTGCGTTAGATCTTGCTTTTGGGATGTGGACATTATTATTCGCAATAGCTCTTGTTGAATGGTGGTGGGTTGGTTTTTCCATGAGGGTGCTGAGGCATGGTGGACTGATGTTATGTATGCATTTGAACGTCTGTAGTAGGATCCGGTGGCGAATGGTGTCATGAATTGGGATAAGGTTGATTTCTTTGAATAAGGTTATTGATGGGATAGTGTAATCAGCGTTTAGTAGAATCCTCGCGGCACGTTTTTGGGCAGATGTTACACGTCCAAGAGCGTCTGTACTACAATTACCCCAAACGCTACAACAGTACTCGAGTGTTGGCTTTGCTATGCTGTTATAAAGGAGAAGGAGGAGCTTGGGTGTAAGGTAAGGTTTGGCTCGTTTCACAAGTTCAAGTTTGTTGTTGTATTTCTTGATAACGTGAGAAATATGGGTGTTCCATGTGAGTGAGTCATCCATGTGCACACCAAGTAGTTTTCCGCAGGTTGTTTGGGAGATGGTGGTTCCGCAGATAGAAACATTGAGCGGTTCGTTGATGGTTGAAAGTTTTTGTCGTGATCCAATAAGCATGACCTTAGTCTTGTTGGGATGGATGGCCATTCTATTCTCGGAGGCCCAGTTACTTAGGTTGTCAGCACCAGTTTGTAGATGTGATCTAACGGTGTTGATGGATGTCCCTGACTTGACCAAGGTGGTGTCATCTACATAGATGTAGGAATTGCATTCTTTGTTAACAAGTGGTATGTCGTTGATGAATAAAATGAAGAGAAGTGGTCCAAGTGATGAACCTTGTGGAACACCGGTATGTACTGGTAGGAGATCTGAAGTTGCACGTCCGATGGACACTAATTGCTTTCATTCCGTGAGATAAGACTTGAACCACTGGAGTGTTGAATCTTTAAGACCATAAATGGCAAGTTTCTGTAGTAGGAGGTCATGGCTTATAAGATCGAACGCTTTCCGGAAGTCTATAAGGAGAATACCGCTGAGATTTCCTTTGTCCATATCATTAAGTAGCGAGTCTGTAAGTTGGAGTAACATTGTTTCACAAGAGTGGAAAGGTCGTGATCCAAATTGGGAACTGGTGAGCAAGTTGTGTTCTTGAAGGTAACCAAGTAGATGTAGACCATAAAAGCGCTCCAAGATCTTAGATAGCACAGACAAAACAGCGATAGGTCTATAATTATCCTTATTTTGTCGCGAGCCTTTTTTGAACACAGGTGTGATCTTGCTGATTTTCCACTGGTCTGGAAAAATACCCGAGGTTATGCTGGTGTTATAGATGTAGAGAAGGGATGGGAGGACTTCATTGCAGCCGACTTGAAGAAGGTGGATGTTTATCGAGTCAACTCCTTTTGCTTTGTTACATGACAAGTTGTTGATTGCATTCAGAAGGTACTCTGCAGACATGGCTGGAACCGTGAAGTGGTGGTTATCAGGAAGGTGAGTTTTCACAAATTGTCGAAGTGGTTCTAAATTTGGTTCGTGATGTGTTGTATCATGGATGACAGAGTCTGCAATTTGTGAGAAATGCGAGTTAAACAACTGTGCAATTATGGCTGTGTTTGTGACAGAAGCCCCATTATCGATTATCTCGTTTGGTGTTGTTTTGTTGGAGTTCAAGTTTCCCGCTTCTTTCATCAGTTTC